TTTCAGAACGCATGATTAGACACAGGCCAAATCGGTACCGTTGTCGACATGCTGTCGCATCGCTCAAAATGAGCGAAAATTTTTCGAAGTCCCAAGGAGAAGGCTCTCTCACGACACTTTTCTTTCTGCTTCTTTTTTCAATGGAGAGGACGGAGAAGCAGAGAGAACCAGCTAACCCAGCCTCAAGAACATTAGTGAAACTGGCTGGTACATCATTCAGATTTCAGGTGAAGTTTCTTCTTTACCAGCGGGATTTGAACCCGTGACATTGTACCAATTACTGGTTACATGCCCGCACAACTGATAAGAGCGAGCTACTTTCATTTACTATTCATGATGTTTTAGATTGACAGACAGACCCTTTCATCAACAAAATTTATATCATACACCAGTTTGAACATGCACTCCTTCGATAATATTCACTCACTCATTTACGTACCGTACCACTTCTCTGATTAAACAATAATAGTCGTGATAGTGATATGACATGGATTCTATAGGGTAAGCAATATGTCATTATCACTATCAGTGTAATTATTATTATATTTATGGTATTCTTCATGCTATTATAACTATTATAATCATTATCATTAATATCAGTTATTATCATTAGTATTAATACCATCGTCAACATTGATTATTATGCGCACAACGAAAATTAAACTGATTATGAACAACAGTCAAGAATGCATAAACATCGTAAACAAATTATTAGGTCTTGTAGAAAGTTCCTGGCCAATTAGAACCAAAATTTCAAAGTTTCATAACTCGGTTCAAAATCAATATTTTTATTCAAAGTAAAATCTGTTCGCCTCTACACATCGCTGCCAACAGGAAACCGGGGTAGTCATCTTTGTAGTATAAAAACATGGATCCCTGGAATCAAAAAATCGACCAACGTCAAGTTTCAATAGGGTCTGATTACGGAGGTTTTTCTTCCGCAAGAAAAGTTCCAAGTTTCTGAATTGATGATAATCTGTTGGCGAGAGGTCCGGAGAGTAAGGCCGATGAGACCGAACCTCGAAATCCAATTGGCGAATCTTTTGCAATGTTGTTCGTGACACGTGTGATCTGGCGTTATCGTGTAAAAGGACCGGACCACTTTTGTTCATCAGTGCTGGCCTTATTCTCAACTACTGATCACTTGCCACCTCGAGTGTATGAGAGCGGTACTCGGCGTCAATGGTTTGCCCACGTCCAGGGAATTCGAAATGCATGACATCGGTGGTGTACCAGAAAATGATGAGTATGATTTTTCATGGGTGTAGCGTCGGTTTCGACATCATTTTTATAGTCTCACCTACGTCCAGCCATTGAGCTGACCTCCACCGATTATCATATTCAATCCACTTTTCATTCACGTAACAATTCCACCAAGGAATGGATCACTGTTGTTCCTGAGCGGCAATGAAGAACAAATTTCCAAACGTCTGAATTGCTGCGCTTCGTCCAGCCCATGTGAAACTCACCGATCCAACTTCCTGACCTTTCCAATCTGCCGTAGGTGGGTTGAGACAGTTTTTTGGCAGACATCGAGTTGTCTTCCATCTGCACCTGCGACTAAATGGGGTCCGACTCTACCACCTCTTTCAATTCGTTGCTGTTGAGGTCTGAAATGTGACCTGACCTCGGCTCATCTTCGAGGTTTATTCCTCCGGCAGCGAACTTCTTGAGCGAATCCCCAACTGTGGATTTGAAAGTGGTTCCCTCACTAAAAGCTTTGTTGGTATTAGCCGTCGCCTGCCTACTCGAACGACCAGGTTTGAATTCATAAAGCATGAATCGCGAATTATTTTCTTCTCCATAGCTTGGATTCAATGCTCCGGAAGTCCCCAAATTGAAAGAATGAAGACCAAATATGAGTATATTCAGATAGCGCAGAAAATTGGATACAGAACGACGCATAACACTAAACACAAGAACTCTGCAATGAAATGCAACTGATATAATGAAATGTTTCATTATATCAGTTTGCCAGGGTAACTGTCCAAGAACTTTCTCTAGACCTAATAATAAATTCAAGTCAACCATATGGCTCAATTAAACAAAATTCAATTCACAGTGAAAAGCGGAGAGCATAAACACATAAGCAAACGAGTGAATTCAAAAGAAATTCAAGTCAAATATGAACAACAATCAAAATTGATCCAACAGTGCCCATTAATCTCATACGAAAGATGACGCTTTCCTTATGTTAGATATTCAAAGCATAAATGCCACTCACGTTTTACATTTACCATACTTCATCAAGTTTATCAGTCATACTAACAGTAACTGCTTCATTCGAATTCATGACCATTTCAAAGAGGTACAAGCTGAGTTGAAGCGCTGTTGATACTTCGTTATAACACGCGTTAAGGGTTTGATCATCAAATTGATCATCATCTTCTCAAATCAAATAAAATCAAGTTCAAATTCTCAAACAATAAACCGACACTTTTACCAAATCCAACCAATTAATAAGTGCATCAAGCGAACAATTCAGCTAACCACCAGCAACAGCCGTTAGTCATCACTCACATCGTTCCCTCCTAATCGTCCGATCATTTAAAACCGAATAATTAAAAAACACCTACTCCAGGAAATACATGAAATGCGGATGATGAGGCAAATGAATATAAATTGCTCACAAATGCTACCTTTCTACAATATTGGTTTGTTGCTCAATTTCATTCCGTCGAACATCTTCCAGCAACAATAACGACCATATGAATAATCAACTTTATCGTTTAATCAATCAAACATCCGCTATATACATAAGTCACGTTAGCTAACCGAATAAACAAACGCACATTCAATGTTTTGTTCCGCTGAATCCACTGCATCAAACCCTTGCGTGGACAAAAGGACATGTAGATTAGAGATAAGTGGGTACGCAGACGCGGAAACCATCGTACGATAAAACTTCATTTTTCATCTCATCTTCTCATTATCAATATCATGTACTCATAATCACAACAGTTTCTTCAATTCCTGATGGTCTTGTAACTCCATAATCTCAGCTAATCCGTTTTCTAAACGTTGCATTTTAGTGGACTTCAGCTAGTTAACATATCGTTCGATCACGGACGCAGCTCTTTCGTTCCCATTTTTCGAACATACTCTGCGCTAATTGAACGACGCACTTTTGACTCATGATACAGAAACACTAGGTAGGTTACTAAACAGACGGTGTATGATAAGACCACAACTGCACTTGATAACATCAAGTTGTCATGCATTTAATAAACGCAGTTATATTATGCAATTTCCACTACACATCCATCTCATCAAAAGTATTGCTTCAAATCTTCGCAAGCAAAAGCTCATCACCGGCAAGCTAACTGTGACTAACTCCCAAATGATTAGCACCATTTAGATCAGTAAACTGATCCGACACTCCTAGATGAAATACATTCTCGTCGAATTCATAATGAAACGCCGCACCAACGAATCGTACAAATTGAAATTGTGTAGTACAGATGAAAGGTTATTCAGCATCAACTATATAACATATGTAACTGAATAACAACAAACATAATCTTACATATATATATTAAGGTTATTTCAAAATTAAGCGTACATTAAAATGCAATTCAGATTTTTCATAATATAGGATAGATGAGATGGACTTCATTCAAACACAAGTTGTGAATACGTAGGTAAGCTGGTACATAAACCTCTCTGTGCAATTATCTCAACACATCACAGAAATATGATCGCTAAAATGTACAAGTAACAAAATTAAATCAATAATGATCCCATTTCTTTTTGTTCTTTCACTTCATACCATCCATTGCTTCATCAAACGATAATGGACTAAAACAGCCGACGACAATATACTGCAGAAAAATGATAATGATAATAATGATACAACAATAAGGTAACAATACAATAATAATTTGACAAATTAACCAGTCAAATTAATTGTGAATGTTATTTCAGGTATAATAAGAGTAGATAAATACTTATAATTCTGATAATGATATAGCAACAGTCAGTCAGCCAAAGGAAAGATGTTGCACGAATGACGTGATTCAGAAGAGAAAAAATATATTAATTAATGATTAGTGATGGATCAAACGATACGAAAAGCATGATAACGGAAGAACAAATAAGAGATATGATAACAATGGTCGAGCAGAATTACAGTAGCTCTAGTTAGCTGATATTTCAGTATCGCTTGGATATCGGAAAGCTTGTGATCAACGACCATAAAATACAGCAAATATTGAAGACGGTAGTGATAATAATAACAATGAAAATATTAATAATAAAAATAATGATAAGAGTGCAGAATGACATATAATAACAATAATAATAACAAAGAATAATAATTATATGGGATGGTAGTAATAGCATTTACATCAAAAATAACGATAATGATAATAATAATAGCAATCATGAACAATGATAGGTATCATAATCGCCGCAAGTGACAATAATAACAAAATCATTAAAACAATAATAATAACGAGAAAGTTGAAAGATCATTTTGATGAACACCATATCTGAACGAAAAACCTCGACTTCATAGTACAAAAAATATTGACGAATGAATAAATCATTGCTTCATAACAATACAATGAAAAAATCCAACATGCTTCAGTGAAAACCAATTACTAAAACTGATAAATTTAAATCAACATGAATACACATACAAGCACACATTGATACGATGAACGAATAAATGTACGATCAAAAAAATAGCAACGGTACCAAATGGAACATATTTCACTTGATTCATCCAATATTCAAATGCAAACAATGAAACGAAACATAAATGGACAAATACATCACTGAAATTTAAATTTTTAAATCATCACCTATTTCCATTCTCATCACTACTGTTGTTATGGTATCAGTGCACGGTTAACATTATCAGTATGATAACTATGTCATAATAATGTCAATAACCATAGTAATAATAGTGAGTGAATGAATCTCAATATCAAACAAACAAGCAATCAAATAAACGAATGAATAAATTAATAAACAAATCAGCACAATGATTATCTTGATCACTGCAAGACATTTGCAATTGTATCGTTATCAAGATGCGGAAGTGTCGTAGTTGCAGTTGTTGTCGATACCGTTTGATTTGTTGTTGCACCCTGCCAACATCCAACATTATTCCACTCTTTATCACTCATCATATCATTGCTGTTAGTGCTCATCACTGTAACTAATTCACCGGATATCGAATTCTTGTAACTAGCGTTAGCATTATCACTCTTATAACTAATACCGTTACCACTAGCATTATCATTACTAATATTATAGCTAATATTACGATTGGCAGACGGCATACTGATATTACTGGTCACTTCCAACGGTGTCGATGACGATAAATGCGTCCGAGTATCTCCTGTTGTTGCGTCCATATGCTCCATTAAACTACCCATATAATCACTGCAATTTCACAATTCGAATTAATTCTTTTCCGTTTCTTCAAAAATTTCAACGAACATGTTTATTACTCATAAATCCTCCAACAATAAATCTGCACCAACTTACGTGCAATTTGAATGTTCATGCCGTTTAGTTGCACAAATTCGTTCTTCAAACATATCGTGTCGTTCTGTCTTTTTCCAAATATAATAAAACTGCACCAGCTCACCAACTGTCCTATAAGGTAACTGAAAGAAACGAATAACAACAACATTGATAATAACAACAGCTGAAACAAAACTGTACAATAACAGCGATAAAATAGAAATAAATGTACACTCAAACACTTTTCTACCCACAACAACCTCCTTTTCTACTTTTCTACACCATTCTTTGCAACTGGCCGAGGCTGTGGTAAATATAAGCAATAACAAAAATCTCACAACGCTAAACAAATCGACTGCATGAATAAAACTTCAATGAATTGAATCGCAATTTCAAACGATAATGTGAAGTGAAATTAATTCAACCTGAGAGCGTTGAATGATGAAGAAATTTTTGCCGTGGAGTCGCATCCCTTCCTCGAATAACTGACAGTCCTGAGAAACGAAACGAAAAACTTGTTAGTGCACACCAGGATCAGTATATTCATCATCTACTCAGCTGTTCAAAATTAAAATTTGATACTCACAAGCCCTTATGACTGAACGAAGAGAACACCATAACACCAACATCAATATCGCTTACATGAAGACACCATGAAAAACATCGAACGGCTTCGAATAATTCACTTAATCACTAATTTTTTCAGATCGAAAGTAGTAATACCACTTTATAGTGAGCACAATGTAGTGATAATATCAATAATGATGAAATAATGGTAACAAAGTCAAGTAGTAATCATAAACTCATAATATTCATAGCATAAATAACGATAGCGATGAATGGAAAAACTCACAGTATCAGTCCATTTTGACGGATTCGGCCCAATGTTCATTTGTGGTGCATTTACAAGTGGGAAAGGGTACAATGACATCGCTGCCTCTGCATCATATCCAGTATCCATATAAACTCTACAAAGAAATCCCGATCATCTGAGATCTGTCCTAAGTCCTAATCATTTACATCAATGATAATTATAGATTTTAAAAATTCCATATTTCATGCTTTTCATTCAAGTCTTCGTGAGCTGCAAATGGGATAGTGGGTGACTAATGGATGCACAACGATTTTAATATACATGTGAGATTTTCCCTACGATGGCTCCGAAATGAAACATGATCCTTCCATCATAATTGCGGTAAGTTCGATCAAATTTCACGCTCTGACTACGAAACTGACTGATTTGATAGTAAAGAAGAATAAATGATGAATGAAATACAATGAATCGACAGGTGATAAGTCTAACTTCAGCGCGTTTTCGTCGTCCCTCAACGGTTGTTGCTGCTGCGTTTGAGCGCTTAGTCTCGACAGATCAGCCGTCTGCGCAGAAACACTTGAATTGAACGCCATTTCGTAGAAAGTTCGTAAAAACATTTCAACATCATAACCAGTCCCATTACATTTCGTTGTTTTCGCTGATGTTGAAGGAGGAGGGGGACGCCAAAGTAGTAATTCTCTCTCAGCACCTACACAGATATTTCATGTATTTATTCATAATATATTCATCATTCAAAATCCAGCACAGATGCCGAACGACTGAACTGATAAACTGCATTCACAAAAACTGAAACAGTACAACCGTGCAGATAATAACAACACGAGTAAACGATGAGGATAATAAATAATCGCATAACTAATGGTTGATTAGTGCTAAAAACTAACAAGGATAATTAATATCAGGTGCAATAAATGCAGGAATTGTGGCTTGGTAGAAAGGTCCTTGACGAACGTTCTTCCTCCAGGGATCAGGCGGAACATATTCATCATCTTCTTCATTATCTTCTTCATCCGAGAAATATCCTCGTGAATCCGTTTTTCGTTTTACTTTGTTCGTCGTTGTCGATACCATCCACGACGACGACGTCGCACAACCATCTCAAACCGAAGTTTCATTATTGGTATTCTTTCAAACATATCATACGATACGGCAACATCATTGCTTAAAACTAGAGAAAAACCACACAAATTCATCTGCATCAGCGTATGCATCATTCATAACTCATAAACTAGACATCTAAACGAGAACACTTAATTAAACGTAACCCAGTTTGATCATTAATGTAAACAAGTAGATTAATTAATGTATACCAATTTGTTATCTGTTATTCGGATAATGAGCGGTTGGTCTACCGATCACTCTGCATGATTGGCAAAACGTTTATCGTGGTTACAATTCTTTACTGGATTGCTATTTAGCTAACTATATTTAGCTATGCCAAATATTTACGACAATAAGCATTTATTACAGCGTGGTTGTCAAATGTCTAATATGCCGGTTGCGATGGATCTATTCGGTTAAATTAATTAAAATCGTTGTATATCATTGATCCCGAAAGATTAATGGTTTACTATTGTCGATTGTTTCAAATGGCTACTTTGAGCGATCATTGGACGCATGTTCAATCTGTCAAACGGATTGTATTTTCGGATTAATTGCTCTACACCCCTATGGTTCGCCAAATCAGTAATCAAGTTAGATGATTCTCTGCAAAAATACCGTTAGCTACGCTAGAAGAAGCATGCCAAAGAAGGAAAAACTTGATACCTGTAACATTGGTAATAACATAGAGGCATCAGCTTGCAATCAGTTGAATAAATAAATACATACCAGCGTTAGCTCCGCCATTGATATTCGAAATACTAGTCGTGTCATCAGTTTCAGTGCCTTGAGGTGTCCCAGCACTATCCTCAGAATGCGCAGACGACGACTGCTCTTCATCATCATCCACTTCATTGTCATTGTCATCGTCGTCATCTTCTTCAACAACAAACTCACCACTCCCATAATATCGCCTTCTCAATTCTTCCACTGATAAATTCGCATCATCTTCTAACATCTTCAACTCGTCACGATAATCCTCTTCTGGATGCTCACGCTCTTCCTCATCAAGTGTTCCTGCAAATTTTCTACAGCTTAAAATGAGCTTCACAGCGTCCATCAACAGTTCCTTCAACTCATCGCATTGCCGTCGAACATGGATTAAAGTACATCAACAAAATCAAATGACCATGCTCAGCGTTAACAGAGATAAATTCCAAAAAACCTTCATCATCGTAGATTTCTTCAGCTTCTTCATAATCCTCTTCTGTGTATGACGACGCATCAGTTATTCTCGAATCACCGTGTTCTTCGTCCGTCATACTGTCTCTTCTGCAAACAAATTCACACCAATCAAAACTCATCCACAAAGCTCTTCAACGACCATATTTTAAAAATCGAGCTCCTTCAATCAACAAAACTTCAACTTTCTTTGAAAATTTCACGTACACGCGACGCATGCGAAGTGATCAAGCGTACGGAACAATACGCACGCGCGTTTTTTTCCGTTGTCACTTTGCTAGCGATAAGTCTTTTGCTTGTGGGTGTGGTTTTAATGAGGCGAGAATTGGTATTTACAGAGCCTTTTACGGTGAAAAGGATGTGTGTTGCGCTAAACTCATGCTGCCAATAAGGTTAGAGCTGACCTGGTGCGAGTGTTGACACCGATTCAGACACTTTCGAAGAGCATTCGTGCTCTTGAACAGTTCGCACTGAAAAGTACGGTGATCGCATCAGTAATCAAAGCACAAAGAAATTTTCGAATTACCCCTGAGAATACGAAGTGCTACTAAACATTTCGCACCATTAATTCCGAGTCTGGAATTAATTTCAGGACTACCTTTTGAAGCGATGCAGTCAGTTAAATTTGTAGCATGCCGGCTGAAATAATATGTACATCTATAACCGTGGCGAATCTGGCATGTAGCTATAGGTTGAGAGTTGAAGTGGATAAACTGAAATTTACTAGCAGAAGTACCGTTATCACTCGGTGTCTATCTGTATTCTTTCTGTGGAGTTTAACAATCGGTAAATTCAACCTTCGTGGAAAAGTCGGGAACGTAACTGAAATTTTGACAGATTGAACCTTACGTTATGGATCCAATACACCATGACAATACATAAGATAGTTTCATTCTTTGATAGAGAAAATCGGCACTAATTACACAGTAACAAAACGAATAAGAAGAAAACCATTATAAGAATGTGTTCCAGTGTAGAACAGAAAACACTAAAAGAAATTAGTTTTTGAGTTTTTTCTCGAAAAAAATGGAACGATGAAATAAATACAAGAAACATTTGAAAAATAACACGCCTTGTATCGAATTGGATAAATACATGTCTCTCCTTATGAATTCGTGATGATTCAAATTTTTGACTGTATTCATTATAGAAAGAAGGTGAGCTAGATGAATGAGAGTCAAAAACGTTGCAATTTGCATCAGCAAGGACTATGCAGATAGTCGTCGTCTGTCTGCTATGCAATGAATTCGATCACCAATTCATTCCTACTTCAACTGAAACCGTTCTCATATCTCCAACTGTATCACATTTCACAAAACAATTATCACACATAATAGATCCGTCGTCATCGGCAACCTCATTATCACCATCAATATCATCAGTATTATCAAGATACATATTGCACTTGTACTTAAAACATACATACATACAAATAACCAGGTACGTTTGTTAGCTAGCAAATAACACAGCTGAAATTTTTTTGTTTGCTTTTTCATGTTTCACAACAAATATTTCTTGAGAAAATGAAATGTCAGTCATTAAATTGCTGTTGTTATTGCTCGAATTCCTGCCGTCTGATTGCTGTTGTTATTTTTGTAATGGTGTTACAATTCGACTTTGTCGTCGGTAGCTTTCGATGACGAAGAAGAACGAAACAGAAACGAAGAAGAAAAAACCTTTTGAATATTGGGAAAATTTTAATCGCTGATTTGAAATGAAAGAAAGAGCACCGATTTTTTCACATTCTTTCATCCCCGAAAAGAATGAAATTTTTCTTATCGTTAATTGAAAGAATATTTCTGATTCAAATTGATTCAGAAAACGATGAAACATAAATAATAGTAACAACAATCAAGAAAAAAATGCAATCTTCAAGCACCGATTTTGTTGTATTTTCTTTTTTTTTTCGTTTGCTTCTATAATTATCCAAGGAAAACTTTCACTCATGCAACTCAGTAACACATAAAAAGACGTCCGCATCCACAAAAACGATCACTTCACGAATTTTTTCCCACTCAATTTTCATTCCAAATTTTGCTTCATCGCTGTTGGCTCGCTTTCTAATTCCACACATCTCTTCCTCGTCTTTGAGTGCTGCCTGAACAATTAATTACCAAGTTGACAAACCAAAAGTAATTTAATCCAACAAAACTATGGTACTTTTTTCACAACAAGCAGTTTGCGTCATTTTCTCGGTTCTTCTTTCGATTGCTCTTCAATCAGCTCACGCATTTCTCATACAGGTAGGTTAACAGTCTCCGATCCATTATTCAAAACACCATGCATCTTTAGCATTACTGCAACTGTTATTATTTCAATGAAACAACACGCATAAAACATAAACTACTAGTAAAATCAATTTAAAAGCAAGTGAAAACAAAATAATGTTTTTAGTCATTTTAGCTAGAGTTGACATAGCTTAAAATATTTCAGTGTGAATGTCAGTGTATACCAGACTATTGCTCAAAGACAGTACCACGGCAGTATTGTCCTTGTGCTACTGCGGATACCGTGTATCAAGGTGTTCCATGCAATCCAACAATTAGCTCAGCTCCATCAAACATTATTATCTACGGTTCCACTCAGCAGCAACAACAACAACAATTTACTTATCCTGTCGTTATCACTCAACAAAATCCCTTCTATCCACAAATAACTTATCCTCAGCAAACGCCTTTGCTCACGAATTCAAATCCATTTTATATAACCATTTCCCAACAACCCTCCAACTCGATTAATACAGTAAATCTCGGTTCACTTGGAATATTAAACAGTTACCAACAACAACAACAACAATTTACCACCGGTACAGTAACACTGAGAATACCACGTACGTGAAAATTCTTTTGTCTAGCGTTTAAACCATGTATGACTTGTAGTAAACATTCCTGCATGGATTATATTATTTTCCTGCATTAAAGCAAAACATTTATTCTTTGATGGTATAACCTCATCGTAAAATGCAGTCGCTGAAAACTGCAAGATGAAGTGAGGACGTGGGAGAGAAGGAAGCAAGAAGAGAGGGCATAGAGAACGTAAATGAAGCCTAAATTCAAATCTAAAATTCCTCCTCTACTTGACAATTTGTCTTTATTGCTAACAACCTTAAAACAGAGTGATTACTGTAGTTGGCATTATCATCAATATACGTTCATAATATCAATGAACCTTGATACTGTTGAAATTCAGAAGAGATTCTCAACTACTGTCAACCGAAACAGAATCCATGTCCTCTTGGTGAACCAAACGTGCAGGTGGTTGACAACTGTACCAATTACCCGAACACACAAAGTTAGTGAATGGAACTGATTAAATAAAATTTATTTAATTGCCATTAATATATTACCATCAACATTACTTATATTGTCATTGTTATTTTAATCGCTGTTTTCACCGTTAAAATTGATATAATAATAACAATTATCATTTCTATTATTATGATTATTGTTATTATTATATAATAATAGTAGTATTACTATTATCATTATTAGTATTAGGATTAGTACTGTCACTACTGTTGTCATTAATTTCAGGTATCCGCTGTATAACAGTCGATGAGATTCGTCGCTTATTCATTTGTGTGTGATAATTTAATAAATCGAAATGAATTAAGAATGGATTTTATTGAAAGCATAACAAGCATCACCATCAATATGATGTCAAGTGAAATCAAATTCATCACTCACTAAAATGCTTTCAATTTCTGAAAAAAATTCACGGTTTTTGTTATTTTCGATTATAATACACACATAAATACATATGATGATAATTGCTTCATGACTGTTTGCTTTTTGAATTATTTTATTTTATGGAATGATCAAAATAAAGTTAAATTAATATTGCTAAAATTCATTCACACAAAAATTTTTGCTTACATCCAAAATTAAGTAAAGACAAACAAAAACAATACTAAAAATAATAATAAGAATAGTGGTAATAATAGTAAAGACAAAAATATAAATCCCAAAAACATTCGCAACATTCGACTTTGATCAATCATATCGATAATCGTCGACGGGCTTCAAACCGTAATTTTTCGTTGGCACAATGCACTTTGATCACTACAAAAATAAATTTTATTCCCGAAATTAATACGAATCAATACTTGTAAGATCGTTTATAATAGATAGAATGAACGTAGTAATTAATATTGATGATATTAATAACAATAATAATAGTCATGATACCAGTAATAATAATAATAATAATAATAATAATTATTATTATTATTATTATTATTATTATATTGTCATTATTATTATTATTGCAGAATTGTTCAAGTATATTCAAGCAGGTTAAAATGATGACATTAGAGATTCGTAACAACCCCTTCTTTCACCTCCTTTACGTGTTTTTCTTTTGGGTAAACAATCTGCAATAAAGAGATAACTTTATATCATAATTATCAACAATTGCTGTTATTATAATTTCCTTACTGTAACTGAGAGCGTACTTTCTTTAAATAGAAATATTGCCCTAAAGGAGAACAAAATGAATGATAGTATAGGATCGAACGACAAGCCTCTAAATTCAGTGTCCCAACGTCGAAAGGTTTACGAGGAACACGACCGACTGAGACGAACGATTTTGGGAATTTTATCCCGAAACTGCGATAGCCTTTCTAAAAGAATGCTTTTATGTAATCATAGATACAAAACACACAAATGGAAGAGTAGCCATTATACCACCTCAAGATGGTGGTCTTGATTCTCTATATTGCGTTAGCAAAATTAGACACTATGCCACTTTTGTGATCGCTAACTACATTCAACTTTTATGAAGATGAGAAAATGCTTTCTTTCACAAATAGCCAATATCGCCAGATGAATGCGAAACGACCGATGCCAAACGAGGAAGGTACAATGTATTGCAATTGTATTGTTATTTGTAATATTTTTATTAGTGAGGCATTCAGTTATATTGTCGTGTTGAGTTAGTGTTCGTATTCGAGGTAAATGCTAGTCAAAATTATCTCAAAAAAGGAGCAAAAATTCAATCACATGAATGCATATGCGAAAATGTTTCGAAAATTTTTAATGTTCAGTCAATAAAGTTTTGTTTCGCTACATAATGAATGTGTAATAGCAAGAACAATTGTTGGGTGTTTGATTCGTTCGATTATTTATTTCTCACAAAAGCTAAACGAATCGAATGAATAACAACATCGTTAATAGCAGCAACAGCAGTTGCCATTTGTTTTTGTTTATTTATATTCTCTTATCAGCACATAAATACGCAAATAAATCAATACATTTCCAAATAGTAATAATGAAAATGGTAATAGTGATAATAATAACGATATGATGGTAACGATAAGAATACTGATACTAACAATAATGCTTTACTTACTTTCTTCTCAGCCATATCGCATCGGTGAAAAATTCTTATGAATGGTTCAATATCGCCATTTGGACGACCGACCGTATCACCTTCCAAGTTGAATTTACCGGTAACTTTCGATGAGACTGTATGAGCAAGCACCTCACTTGCGTCTGCATAACGAAAATTTTCATTATTGATACTTTTTTTTCAACGATATTATTTTTCCGCAACTTTTCATTCAAATTCACTGCATTTTGACACCCTTTCATTTTATGAATGGCTTAAATGTTTCAGATTTTACGTTCCAAAATGTTTCACATCTGTTTCCAAATAACATCAAAAAACTTTTCGTGAGAACGTGCAACAAAAATTTCTCATTGGAAAAACATTCAAAATCTTTCCTAAAAACGCATCAAAAATTTTTCATTCAAGGCCTTTTGTTATATTTAGAAGTTGGATCAATCAGTAAGTACTCATTGATATATGCAACTGTGACAGCGATTATTTGGGATTTTGTTTTGATAAAAGAAAATGACATTTCTTCTGCTGTAATGAAAAAAAACGATGCAAATATAATGAAACTGAACGGCTGAACGAACCATCAGTATAATTTCTGAATAATTGGACTTTTACATCGCCTGCCGGGTGAGTGCCACAAAGAAGCGTACCTTTTGCTGCAGTCGAACGAGTCATGATCGACTGCGCAAATTTTGGAATATCGGATGAAACTGTTTGTATGTGTGTCGTGAAACTGATCACAAACACTACATGAAGGGCGATCATCAATTTCATCTCAAATGATTACACATCTGGTATCGTTAATACAATACAAATACTGTTGTTATTATTCATAATACTATTTTCACTATTATTATCATTACGTATCGAGAAACGAGTGCTTGCAAAATGGGTAAGAAAAATATTCTGACAGTGAGGATTATACAATAACAACGACAACGGTAATGAAAATAAACATTATAAGAGTGAGCATGATAATGATAATTCTCAAGTCCATTCCATTCAAGTTTGATTGGATTTTATTGGCGTGATAGAAGAGATTCTTTTCTCAGTGGTTCTTCAAGAACGCGAAAATGTTGAAGAAAGACAGTTTTGAAATGATACAAGTGGATTGTTTTTGACTGTTATTACACTTGATGAAGCTGTTTTCGTGCATATGTTGTTGGCTGCTGTGAGTTAATTAATTAATGAACAACTATTGTGAAGATTCTATTTTTAAGCGGCCAAATGCGATAACGTTTACAAATTACAAAAATACTCAATCTTAAGTACGAAACAAATGTTAGATTGACTAATTGAACGATAGATAGTTTTTATATGATTAAGAAAACAACAAATAGCTGGACACACTTATTCACTTCATTAATGGATTATCTCATTTATTCATTCATTCTTTTCTTCGCTAATAGCAGAAGAATACGTCAGTGTTCCACTCACAATATTGCTCATCATCAATTCAATTCTGAATTTAAGTGTTGCACTCATTTGACTGTTTTCATTTTCAACAATCTGTGTTTTGGATGTTCACTGCATATGAGTGGGCTTTTATTTCATTTTTCAGAATCTATCATTAACATTGTCATTATCAAATTACCACCAATTGTTCGCTGAATAAATGCTTATTTATCATTGCTTAATGAAGTTGCAAACTGACAGCGAGTAATTCGCACAGATAGGAATGTGATTGGATGCAATTCACTTGCTAGTTATGTGTAAGCGTTGGCTTAAAAATTAAAAGCTTAAGCGCATCCAGCTAACATCTTAATAATATCAATCAGTTCAGCAACATTCTAAAAATCCGCTGTTGCTGTTATAACTTCTGTATCATTTATCACTAACACTGCTATCATTTTTCGCACACTGAATCATTCACTGCATTATAAACATCACTCCACTTGAACGACTAAATCCTTCATTATATCCTCATTTCATTCGCATTCGTTTGTCCCATTCATTCTTTTTACTTATGCCGCTTACTGGCTACTTGCTCACTGCGTCCGCTCACGCGTATCGTTCCCAACATGCTCACATTTTCTGAAACTTACAAAATACCCCCCCCCCCCCTTATTGTCTCTTTCCCCATACATTGCTACACAACCATCTAGATTCACAATATCGATATACAACTGTTACCGATCGCAGCAATAAAATTAGCAATATTAACAGTCATAATAGCAACTGAATCAATTAAAGGATGAACTACACATACCTCGTAACATTATTACTTGTACTATGTACATATGAAGCAATGGCGATGCGTAAGCAAGGTGTTGCAGTCCGAGGACAACTTATGTGTGGATCTTCACCTGCAAATCACACCAAAGTGCGCATTGTTGACATTGACACTGGTCAGTTTATTCATTCATTTATCCATTATCATTACTAGAATATTATCATTAGGAATTCGCATCTTTGCCTTCTGCATGTGTCCGTTTAGACTTGTAGATTTTATTGTCATCATTGAACAGATCTAATGACTTATTACTATCAGTGAACGAGTGAGAAAGTAATTCGTTATCTTTGCACACTTTTACTCGTTTACTGATATTGATAAGATGCCCAAGACAACTTCGTCCAATCGGTTTTTATGATTAAATGATAACCACCGCGTAGATGTTGGAATAGAAGACTTGTCACCAACCAATATTTTGTAATACTTAATTTGATAATCTGTAGCTGACGGCTGATGAATATATTTATGAGATGATTGCGTATTGTCAGGTGAACGAATATAGTTATAATAAAACTTTGTATAGACCTCAACGGTAGATGAATATTCGAAATGATCTCTTGTCTACAACAGATGAACCGAGAATAAAGGTTCAAAGAGACCATAAATCATTCAAACACCATCGCTATATCTTGCCGTCAGTATTTGCTCATAATTAGCTAAAGTTCAACCGTTGGCACAAGTTTTCATTCTTTTCAGGCCCAGATCCAGACGATACCCTCGATGAGAAATTTACAGACGGCGATGGAAAGTTCGAGCTGAACGGATACACTCGCGAATTAACGTCTATCGACCCCGTTTTGTACATATGGCACGACTGTCTTGATGGTCTTACGGTATCTTTTGTAGTGTCACTCAAAACTTGCTGATACTACGTTTTAAATCAAGCTAACTTTTGACGCGAATTTTAGTGTGAGCAGCCTTTCGTCACTTATGAATACGAGTATGAAGAAATGAGTACTTATGAAAAAATAAACAAATGAATGTGAATAAATCATTGAGGTAGCAAATGAAAGTATATAGAACACTATGCAGTGATAACCATTAAAAAACATACTAAATGAAAAGTTTATATGCAATTAATCTACGTATGTACACACTTTGTTTTTTTCAGCCGTGTCAACGAAAGATCACCTTTACAATACCAAAAAAATTCATCCATACTGGTAATCCAACACCAGAGCAATGGGTTGACATAGGCGTATTGAACTTGCAAGCGCAATTCGAGATGGAAGGCCGAGAGTGCACTAATTAGATGGTCGATTATTCATTGATCAATTCAATTTGAAACTTTATTCTCTATCGTTTATATCAATTTTCATCAGTATTCATTCTACAAAATTTTTGCACTTAGTCATGATAACAATTCAATTAAATATTGCATTACATCATCAGAATCCACTTCATTTCTCAACAACAATTATCAGTGGTGATGAAACCGTGAATACTGATGAGCACAATAGCAATAACAGCATAGCAGTAACAGTAATAGAAGTAGCGATAATCAGAACGAGATGGGTAATGGAACGAACATTCTGAAAATTTGATCACTCCAATGGATATTCATTGGAACCACAACTATGCATGTCGAGTTCGATGAATATTAGCAGTTAAAATGAGTGAAACAAACATCAGTGACGACACAAACAACAACAATATATTATAACCCAAATAGGGCAGGATCAATTCCGTTAGAATTGCTGCAAATATTCCACCAAGCGGCTGAAAAATATTCGATGCATCAATTATTATTTGACTGAACTTTTGTTCGCGAATGATCAACTCATGCTTTGAACAGATTGTTCAAAAGTAAGCTTAACCTTTTCGCTTTACTAGAGAATGAGATGAAATAATCTTTCACCACCTAACAAGAAAATTGATACAAAACTATAGTGCGAAAATAGGTGCACTCAAATACTTTTCAGGAGAGCATATTGAACTTATTAGGGTTTTTCTACCAAATTTCTCTTTCTTAGCCAGCCTCTTCATAATACTACAACTACGTGAATCATCGTCCTCATAATAACTTACTTGCTAGTAAATCAACTACTGAAAGCAGTCAATCACAACAGCGAGATCAACGTTGCAAAAAACTAATAATATGATTTTAAAAAATGAGAGAATGAACAGAACATACAAGTGCTAATTGAAGGCAACCGTAAACAACACCGAACTGTTCGCTTCTAAAATACTTGTTGGTTGCGTAGGGTAGCAACGTGTACGTTGCACCAATGCACGAAAACATAAAGCAAACCTAAAGGATTTACGATAAAAAATATTAGGAATAATAATAATCTAGCGATACTCAACGATTCAACGATAAAGTGAAATAATCGAATTTGAGTCATTCTTCACTCACCCAATAGGTGAACACCCACCAAATTCCAATATATCTCACAAGGCATAATGAACTCATTAGGGCCGAACCAATTCCACACACAATTATCATTGAGGTTTGATAGGATGCCTAAAATTCACCACTGAAACTCTGAATCACTCACACAAAAGCAGAATTTACTTCACAAACTAGAAGTAAACAAATAATTTTAGGTACATATACATATCCGATTTGTCCAATACACAATTTAGCAATAATACTCATCAATAAATTATTCACACCCCGTCAACGACTTGCCCTGCTAAGACACGACTACCACAGTTGAAAATTGATGCAATTGAGCCGATCATTGCCAAATAAAAATCGTCTTTGATAAATGTTTGACCATATGCCTATAATAATAATGAATAATAATCACAGTAATAATAAGAGTAACAACAATAATCAAATTTTTAGCAATAAAAATAACAGTAATAATAAATATTAACTGAAAATGAATTTCGAGAAGAAAATTTCGATTGAACGAACAAACAAAAGGACGAAATGAATAACTTTATAAAGACCAGAAACGATTTGTGCCCAAGTGTTGTTAAGAAATAAAGTGACGAAAAGAATGATGAAAGTTGAGCTCTTGAAAATATCACGCCACTGGTGATTGCCACTATCATTACCATTACCGCCACTGGTATCGCCATGATTCTTCACTAATAAATCTTCACCTTCCTGCTGTGAATGATGACTGAATTCCGACTGAACTGAGAAGCTTCCTCCAATTAGTTCGTATTCCTGAAAACTTCATAAAATCTTTCATTCATGAGATACTAACGATTCTAGCGATGATAATAACATCAGCAGTAGCATGCAAGAGTAACGATGAAATAACAATAATAAAAAAACTGTAACATTCAATACAACAAACACTTACTTGAACTGGTTTTGCCAGGAGAATTAATCCAATAGATTGAAAAACTGCAAAAATGATAGCCATTACTAAAAACACTTGCGGTACACGTCTCAAAAGATCTTCTTGTGTGAAAATTCTAAAGAAAAACATTATGCATTAGTTTAAATTGCCTGTAATTATTAAGTGATCATTACAGTTAAATAATAACAGTAAAATAGTGGTGTCATACTAAAAGTAAAAATAATATTAAGAATAACAACAATGACAGCAACAATAACAAAAACAGTGATAGTTACAGAAAAACGACACAAACAAATAATTAAGTAAACAAACAAACCCATCTTCGTTAACTGAATAGTTATTCGGATTTATAAATTTTGTTTGAATTGGTGTGAAAATAAATGCCGAAAGTCCAAATCCTCCAACAACCATGCCCGTTGCAAAACCAATTCGATTTGGGAACCACTAAACATATCAATACTTCCACTTATACATTATACTGAGTTACGTAATAATATCACACAGTGATATAGAAATACTGATAACAACAGTCATAATCATAAACACAATAATAATAATAATAATAATAATAATAACAATAATAATAATAACAATAATAATAATAATAATAATAATTCGTGGAACGAAAGCGTCAACTGACTTCTTGTATATTTGTTAGAATGCAGTTGTAAGTGAATCCTTGAGCAAAACCTGTGCATAGGCCAAAAGTGATTAAAAGTAAGCCAAATGAATACTGTATTGTCAAATAAGAAATCGCTATTGAAAATCTGAAGTATGAAATTGATTCAAAAATAATTCGAAGACAAAGCGATTATGAAAAGTAAATTGAAACGATTGCAACTGGAAAATGATAGTAGAAATCAGTGATGTGCAGCACTGAAATCAGATGCAGAAATAAGTTCTTAAAGATTCCATACTCAAAAAAACTGTTGTAGTGTAGCAAGCGGGGTGAGGGATTACATAGGCAAGTACAGTAAATCCCGAAATTTCCACCTCCCTACCTGATAGGATGAGCGCAAATGGAAGGAACAATCAATACGGCAGAGGAATTTGAATTCGTTTGAGTTCAACTTTTTTATGCCCGACCCTCTGATTTGAGTCAATTCAACCCACTTTCACTCTCTCCCAACTCACTTTACTCTAGAAAATGGTCGTGTTCACACTCAAAAATCTATATTTGTGTACTTGATATGATGAATTAATTTGCAATTTGTTATAACAGTAGACCACACACGACAGAGCATTACGATAAGCCACACAGGAAGGATTTTGCGACTAGTTGTTCAAGGGAGATGCAGATAATCCGCTAAGGTAGTGCAGCAGCAGCACTTGCATAAAGCATGGATCTTCGTTTCAGGTGGGTTCTGTCCCATGAAAAATCAATTTAGGATATCCCAGGGTTATTCAGAATGTTCGTCAGATTGGAAAATATCCGAGGATGGTCAACTGAAGTCTTTGTAGCTGCGTATTTCGTCGTTATTATTCATATTAACTGCAGTTCTGCTTAATTAAGATTATCAATGACAACTTCGAGCACAATTTTTGAGCTTAGCAGTGATATGAGAATGAATGAAGTGGTGCATGATCAGCATGCAATTTTGAAAATTTCCTTTCCAGCTCTATGAAGAAGAAAAACAAATGATAGCAAACAATCAATGTAACTTACGTATAAAGAAAAACACCCAAGAAAACGACGACTCGAATCGGCAATTTCCGCTGCAAAAATCCACCAGCAAGCATTGCAAACGGTATCGCACCTCAACTTTAGTTTCATTTTTAATTTTCAAGCAATCCGCAATTTACAAAAATTAATCAATTATTCATTTGGAACAAGCAGCGTTCATATATTGTTTTCAAAATGCTTTATCGGCTTATTTCGTTAATCAATTCTCCAACTTCTTTATGGTCGATCGCCAACCAACTATTTATATGCCAGATTGCTGCGATTATCAATCGAATGAATGATACGTACTGGGAACACCAACCTAAAAACATCTGCAGCCAAATCATCGAGCTTTCACTTTGACCTGGATCAACCCTCCATCGCAAATATGATAGAATATACGGTAAGAGGTTACCTAAACATATACATTCAATTGTTCACGTTTTTTTTTGATATTCAATCAGTTGATCATCCATCCCTTTCGAGAACTTCAAACTGTTGATAAATCATTTAAATTCATTTCGCAAACCTTTCATGTCAGCTCTACTGGTTAGATGATGATTTCAACAGAAACCAACCTAGTGTGTAGACAATACCAGTAGAAAGTTGAATAATTACGCTGCCTAACATCACCAAATACGCGTGATATTTTCGAGGTATTCGTTTCAATAGAATATCATTTGTGTCCATTTTACTTCAACATTTCAGTATTAACAATTGACATAAATTCATCGGTGATATTATTGTCATCACCATTATCAATATTCTTGTTAAGATCATTTTTTGAATACTTCAAGATATTTTGGTGGTGGTATGAGGTATATCACGCTCACTTCACGATTTTTGAATGATATTCGAAAAAGAAAGACACCCATTTCTGTCAACAATCGATGTTATGCATCGACTTGTGAACGGAATGTTAAAATAACATTAAGAAAACTGATAAGAGCGTCAAGAAAGTAAGATACAAAACGAATAAAATGAGTTGAATTGATGAATAAATGAAAGAATACGAATCTTGAGTAAGAGTTTAGCAGTGAAAGCTCATCAAAATGTACTAACTTCAATGACCAAAGCATCAAATTTAGAAATGAATAATTTTATCATTGTGATAAAAACATACAAACTATATGTATTATCAATATGATATGAACTGTTATGATACATACTCATTTCGACGTGTTTATGGTGAAATAGAATAATCTACATGAACAGCTCGTTATCTTTTGTCGATGCTTTATGTGCTTTCTACATCTTATCTAATCGAAGCAACAATCAAACCAAACATTTCATCACTTTTTTCGAAGTAAAAATTTTTTTAAATAGCATTCATTTTCACCGACACAAATATTACACAAAAAGATTTAGAAATATTCACTCATTTGAGCATCTTAAGCGCTGATTTATTAACATTCTATACTATTATCACCACTATGGTTGGTATCAATACTATCAGTGTTACAGATACCATCCACTTTTATCATCACTGATAATGTTCCCTATTTTGATTTTTGCCATTACTGCTATTATTATTATTATTGTTATTATTATTATTATTGTTAGTATTATTATTATTATTGTTATTATTATTATTATTGTTATTATTATTGTTATTATTGTTATTATTATTATTATGAATTATTATTATTATGAATTATTGTGATGAGCTTCTTATGATGGTTTCATTATATGTAACATTCTATCTTAATTCAACGCAATTTGATGAGCGATTCTTTTGAAGTTAGCGGTGTTATTTTGTTTGGTGAATGTCTGCTGGATGACACAATGATATTTGTTGATCAAAATAATAATAATAATAATAATTATTATTATTATTATTGGTATTATTATTGCTATTAAATAATGATAATAATAATAATTATCAACGTTACTATTATAATTATAATTATAAT